TTACCGACGGTAAGTCGAACCCTGGGTCTGTGATACATATACACTGTATTGATAGGGCGGTTTCTTTCCATTTCCTTCACATGCACTTCTTTTTGAAGCCACTATCCCCGTAGCTAGCTAGCGCGATAAATCGGAAGCTTACGCCACAACCAACGCCCCCAACCGATCCATCGACTAGTCATGAGTTGCTAATTATTTACATGATACCTCGTGCAATGTTGCGGGATTTTATAGAATGATATTTAAGTGAAATATGAGGTTATGAAAATAACTAATAAAGCGGTATCATAGATCTAGAAAATATATGTGAAGTGAAGAAAAGATTACAAAAATGGTAATCAACTGTGAGAAAATGATTTAAGCATATTTTTATGAGAACACTATGACAAAAGGTCACCAATAAAACTTATCTCGATCTAGAAATGCTCTCAAACTATGCCTCAACATCTTTCATTTTAAAAAGGAGTCCAAATACCACCCCCCCCCCTCCCCTAAACTTTAGATAGAAGTCCATCTAGCACTCTAAACTTGAAAACCGGACATTCAACCCCCTAAACTTTACAAAACCGTTCATATTACCTCATAAGATGGTTTTGTATAGTGATTTTTTTATCTAATTTGTATAAATTGGATGAGTTTGATCATGTGCCATGCACATTGGACATATACTACTCTGTAAAAAAAAACGAATTCCTAGCTACAAACCTGGACACACATATGTGTCTAGGTTCGTAGGTAGGATTGGTCTTTTTTTTTTTGGGACAGAGGGGATATATTATTATAATCTCCACTTAAATCTTTCATTTTACCAGTTGTTAGCTCTTACTTACAAACAAGTACCAACATAATAATCGTATGATATCACTGTATAAGTATAAATTAATGACTTACAACTGATGATATTCAAATATGTTATATTAGTTATTTAAAGTTGTTCATTTAAGATTTTAAAATATACAAAGCCACCATCCAAAACCATCTTAGGGGTTAACATGAACGGTTTTGCAAAGTTTAAGGGGTTGGACGTCCGGTTTTAAAATTTAGGGTGCTAGATGGACTGTCGAAACAATATTTCGGCAATACTTAAAGGGGGTGGCTATCAAGCAGGAAAAGTGGATGGGTTAGGAGACAAAAGGTTTATACAGGTTCAGGCCCTCTCAATGAGAAGTAATACCCTACTTCTGTTCGGGGATTGATCCACCGAGTGTATTATTGATCGTATGATATGAGAGAAAGGTTATGCCCCAAGAGGCACCCGAACCCCTCCTTATATAGGGGGAGGAGTCCGTATTACAAGATACAACACATGTTCCTAACAGAATATGCAAGTAAATAAAAATTGCAATCGTAACCGACTAGAATCCTCGGATATTTCATACACAAGTTAGGAAAACAACCGAGTTCTTTACTAAAGATATTGTATCCATATATGGTACCCCCATATCTAGTCGGATATACATGCCATGTGGGTATGGGGTATCCATTATCTCCACACGGATTTCTATCTAAAATTTAGGGGGTACTTGACTTTTTCCTTTTAAAAATAAATAACTGACACATGGTTGTGCAGCATGCAGAAGCATGGTCTGGATGAGGGAGACCAAAAGATGTGATAGTCGACGCCTTGAACTGCCTCGTAGTGTAGAACGCGAAGAACTTTCCCCAATATCTATCAGTCCTTTTTTTTTCCCTAGCCTTATTATTAATATATGCATGTATTTGAATCAGTGGCAGAGACAATAATTTTACGAAGCCTGAGCAAGCTTAATTACAATCGTTGTATACGTTTGAAGACCCATAGTACATGGATATGTCTACACGCTTGTATGTCAAGCTAATAGGCTTTTTTATATATAAACTTACATTTTTCCAGTAAGTATGTGTATGTCCATAGATAAAAATAAAGAAATGCGATGAAGAGAATCAATCGGAATATCAGTATTTAGATGTTACCAATGATTTACCAACAAAGATTATATGAAAAACTAAATATATTCTTGCTCCTAAAATGCTCTGACTAATAATTAAGTCAATTTTACCATGCAAGTAATAAGGTTCTGTTCGTTCATTGGTGTTGGGAACACTTCCTTCTCAGTATACAAAACGGAACGACGAATTAGCACGAGATTAGTTAAGTATTAGATATAATTTTTTTAAAAAAGTTAACATAATTTTTTAAAATAACTTTTTATAGAGATTTTTTTTAAAAAAAATACACCGTTTAGCAGTTATGTACGTGTCAAAACCAGAGAATAGAAGTTGGAAAATTGTTCAAAATAAAACAGCCTTAAAGGCACAGGCAAAGCCCATTAAGCCCACTAAATCCGACGGCCCAATGAACCGTCCGGGCCTCTAACATCAGCCCATGTATCCATCGCCTTCCTCCTCCTCCATCTCTCATGTCTCCCCCCGCCGCCGCCGCCGCCGCCGGCGATCCGACCCCTTTCCCTCCGATAGGTTCAGTGCCCTCTCCCTCTTCGCCTCCGTTTCTTTGTTTCCTGCACCGATTCTGTCATCTCTCGCTTGTCAGGATTCCTAGTTCAGATACTACTGATTGCAGCGCGCAAGATTTGGTTTACAGATAGGAGGAATTCTAATCCTTGTTTGTCCAGCTAGAGTGTGGCTCAGAGTCATTTCTGCTGTGTGAATGTGCCGGCTCTAGAATGGGTCTCCTCAGCATAATCAGAAAGATCAAGCGAAAGGAGAAGAAGGTGATGAGGATTCTCATGGTGTAAGCTGATCCTCCCCTCCTCTTCCAGCTTCCAATGCTGATGCTTTTCTTGATTCCTGGGTTGTAGTATGTTTCTTGATTTACCAGGGTTTATATGTACTTTGTACCATTGGTTTGGTTGCTCTTGTTGTTCCTTTCATTTTCTTGGAGACATCACTGATGTGAAGAATTTTACAGTGGCCTCCACAACTAGGGTAAGACAACAATTGTGCTAAGAAAAAATGGTGATGACACCAGCGTCATTAGCCCTACACTTTGGCTTCAGGATCAAGACCATCAAGTACCACAAGTATGCATTGCATTGCAACCTCTCCTTCTGTCAATTATCAAGTTATAAATATGGCATCACAAGGAAATTCCAGGATGATGATATGATTTATCATTTAAATGCTATAGTATCTCCGGGATCATACCATTATCTAAAAAAGGAAGTCTCCGAGAGCATACTGGCTGTAGTGTTCTGAAAATTTTCGTATCAATTTAAGTGCATGTAACATAAGACTGAAGCATGTGGAATGGTGGAAGTGGATTCATCATTTTAGTCAATAGAGTGTGAGTTTACTGATCTATATTGATTTTTTATCTGCTTGATGATATCAAGTGTCTTCTCTTAACCTCTACAAGTATAAGGTATTGAAGTATGCTCCAGAATATGCTCAAACATGCTCTAGAATATGTTATCTTCATAGCACCCTAGCTTATTTAGTTCCATAAGATCAATTTTAACAAACATTTTCCAATGTGAGATTATGCCATGGAGTGCCTAGTGATTCACATAGATCAACATTTTTTGTAGGAAATTCACCTCACATGGTCTGGCAATATAATAGGTAGAATTAGCACCTTTCGAAAAAAAATAGATAGTACTTTAGTAGGCTTGACTGCTTTCAATTTTTTTTTTTGGGTGGACAGCATAAGGTGGTCGCGAAGTTCTCTAGTTATTATTCAGTTAACATGCTATTATTATGTTAAGACATGACACTGATCAGTACCTACTTTCAAAATTTGATGATTGCTTCAGAAGCATGAGAGTGCACCTTGCCTTTAATGCTTTTGAGTGGCAAACACAGAAAAGAAACTAGAAATCTAGGATTGTTACAGGGTTATATATTGTGACATGTTCAGGTCACCAAATTCAGATTTACATATGGTGATTGTGGCAGGTTCTCTTTGAACATATGGGATGTGGGTGGACAGAAGACAATCCGATCGTATTTGAGCAGGCTAACTGCCTGGTTTGGGTGATTGATAGTTCTGATATCCGAATGCTGAGCTCCAGAGTCTGTTGAAAGAAGAGTTGCAAGTGATTTTAGCCACTAACTCTAATTGTTAATGGCACCCAGTTTCCAAATGGTTTGTGTTTATTCTGCACCAGGAAACTGTGAAGACTGCAAAGTTTTAATTCTCAGAGCATGTTTTCCCCTTGCTGAATCTTTCTTCTGAAAGTTAGTAATCCTTGGAGCTTTGATGTCAGAGATTGGCCGGCGCATCGTTTTTCGTTTTGGCGAATAAGCAAGACAATCAAGGTGCATTGAAGCCGGCAGAAATCGCCAAGGCGGTGTATTTGGACATACACGTTGTACCGATACATCCCCGGGATTAACATAGGAGTAGAACACAGTACAAATCTTACCATCACACATTCACACTGCTAGGCCGAGCTTCTGTCGCAGAGACATCTCATGGTCATGTTCTCTGAATTGTATTATGACCGGGCACAACAAGCGTCACCTGGTCAGCTGTAACTCTGCTAAAATTAGAGCAAAGAAAACATAGTTTGTGGCAATCATGGCTTCTAAGATTAGCAATTGCAAAGACTGTTTCAAGTGTTGTTAAATATGGGGAAACTGGATAGATGGAGCTGTGGTTTTTGTTTGCAAGTGCTCAAGCTGGAGGCCATCGATCGCTGCCGGCATTCTCATCGACTGAAGAAAAATCTGTATTGCAAAAGCTTTGCTCCAATCTATTTGTACACAGATCAGCAGATCTCTAGTCCAGCAGCATCACTGCTCATCACTGTCACCGCTGCTAGCTAACGATGCTGTTTAGCAACAAATCCAATCGTAAGGAAATCAGACAAACGCTTCAGTAGTAGCATCAGTGTGAGTTCACAGCTTCATCACAGTCAGTGTGAGTGGTAGCTAATGATGCTGCTTATGCTTAGCAAATCATCAAATCGTGATGATGATGATCATTTGCACTAGCATCAACAACAAATAGTATCAACCCCCATGATTCACAACCATGACAAATTAAATAATTCGATGGATTTGACGAGAGCGGAGCACACTAAGATTCATTCATTCATTTCATTTGATCAAAGCAAACACGAGACGAGCTTTCTTCTTGCGATCAAAAACACAGATGGGCAACCACACAGTAACACAAACTAGATAGTAGTTCCACACAAAACTAACGATGATAACGATCGGATGATGATGATGGTAGCTCGATTAGATAGATAGATAACTTGGCCATGAGGGCCCCACCGCTCAGTTCCTCCAGTTCCCGTCGGAGTTGCCGCCGCCGCGGCTGCCGTAGCCACCGCCGTAGCCGCCGCCGCCGCCACGGCCGCCACCGTAGCCGCCGCCACCGCCGTAGCCGCCTTCACGGCGCTGGCCGTAGCCACCGCCGCCGCCACCACCGTAGCCGCCGCCGCCACCGTAGCCTCCGCCTCCGCCGCGCTGGCCGTAGCCGCCTCCGCCTCCGCCTCCGGAGCGGCGCGACTGGGCCTCGTTGACGGTGATGTTGCGGCCGTCGAGCTCCTTGCCGTTCATCCCCTCGATGGCGTCGCGCATGGCCTGCTCGCTCGAGAACGTCACGAACCCGAACCCGCGCGACCTCCCCGTCTCCCGATCGTTGATGATCTGCACCGCATACCACAACCCCCATAGTCAGATCTACGCAACCAGATCTGAAGAACACCACCACCAAATCACATCCAAAAAAACACAGAGAAGAGGGAATCAATCCATCGGACCTTGGACTCGAGGATCTCGCCGAAGGTGGAGAAGGCGGCTTCGAGGGAGCGGTCGTCGGTGGCCCAGGCGAGGCCGCCGACGAAGCAGCGGTACTCAACATCCGGCGCCGCCATGCTTTCCCACCAACCCCACGAAGAAGAAAAAAAAACGAAATCGAACCGGACCCGAACCGAACCGAACCGGGAGGGGGAGGAGAAGCCAACCCACCTCTGAGAGACCACGGGGAAGAAGGCTGCACCTCAGGTGGGATTTATAGCCGGCTCAGGGGAATCCGTGGCCGTCCAGATCGCATCCGACGGTGGGGGGTGAGGGGCGCAGGATAAGGATATGAGGTGGGTGCCTTTGGAATATACGGGGGGTCAAGTTGTCTTTGTGTTTTTGCTACGCTCACGCCAAGTATCTACACCACTAGTAGTATACTGTACATGATATTTTCCTTTTCTAAAGATAATGGAAAGAATTCCGCCCTTTTGCTACATGACGTGGAGTAGTGTTTTTTTTCCTTTTCTTTTGGTTTTGCGTGCGTAGCAATGTGTCACGCACGCTTATAGCGTATACATTTTTTTTTAGTGTGGTTAACTTACTAAGTTAGGCTAAGCACGTACACTTAATTTACTTACATGCCGATACGTTTGCAACTAGTATATATACACGAAGCATGAATTTGTTTGTCCGTATTCATACGAATGTGAGTCACCACCACGTATGCACGGAGCACATTTTGTCTCACCATTTCATTTGTAACGTTTCTTGCACGCAATGTTCATATTCTTTGTAAAGCACGCACTCGTGTGTATTTTCACTTTAGCTCATGAGCATCCCTTTCTTGTGCACTTTTTATGTGGATGGGGGATCAATTTTGATGACTATGTGTTTCTTTCTTTAGCAATGCTAACCACAACCACATACTTGAAAGGTTTTATTCACCTTTCACTTTGGTGGAGAGGATTTTTTCCAAGTAAATGAGCAAATCTTATTGTATCGTTTTGGCTAGCGATGGAATTTATGTTGTATTTACTATTTAATGGGAAAAATTCACATTTTATTGCTAGTTTTCTTAAAATCTGTTATGGCATTTTCCATTTCCTTTTAGCGAAAAAAATATGTGGATAGACTCTACTCATAAAAATATTTGTGGATAGCCTAGCTTTTGAGTTTTTAAGTATATATGTTCTTGTTTAGATATCAATAATACTTTGTATAGAAAAAGGATCCACTTTAAACATGGTAATCCATATCATTTCAGTCAAGATAATCATTGTTGTTTTCTTTGTTAGGGGCTTTTATAGAAAATAAAGTGGAACCTCCTTTTAGATTAAACAAAGTGGAATTTTGTATCACCATCTATCATTGCACGCACCAGATCCACAAAATCATATCTAAAATTTGTAGAAGAATATATATTCATATCCATCCATATATATTCTATAACTCATGACTAGAGTAGTGACATTATTGCAAGATTCTTTTCCAAACAACTTTTATATTAAAAGCATAATAACTAAATGATAGATTTATTACAAGAGAATATATATATATATATATATATATATATATATATATATATATATATATATATATATATAGTACACTAGGAGAGGTTGCTTTCGGCAATATGATGATTGAGCACCAGGATTTGGGTGATATTGGGACACGGAGCAAAAAATGTGCATAGGTCGGCACGTGGGGCCCAGCTGACGTCGGCGTGTCCTGACAGTGTCCTAAAAATATCTTACGGGCGAAATGACGGTTGTACCCACGGGTCGGCCTCCGGTCCGACCCGAACGCGAAGGCAAAGCCGACGCGACGCGGCTGCCTGAACCGACCGATCAGATCAAAAGTTGACTCGCACAGTCAAAGTCTTGCTGTCACGTCTGATCAGATCCTGGAAAATCTTGCCCGTTGATTAAAACAGCCTCGGTTAATGATTGCAGTAAAAAAGGTCATTAAGGTTTAATGGGAAAAAAATAAAAAATAAAAAATAAAAAGGGGAAAAAAGAAGGTCCCACCGAGATTTGAACTCGGGTTACTAGATTCAGGGTCTAATGTCCTAACCGCTAGACCATGGGACCTTTTCTGAAGAATGGCAATATGGTTTTTTATTTAGTGTAAAAACTGCTAAATGACCAACAGTAATAAGCGACCATTTTTACTTGACCAAGGCTGTTTATGTGAGTGTATTGTGCTGTGGTTGGTTACTTCTCTAAGTTTTTTTTTGGTTTAGTTTGCTTCTTAAAAGAAAAATGCTCCTTCGTTTTTAATTTTCTTTCTTACTAATCAACGTTAAATATTACTAGAAGATAGAGTAGTAGATGACAGTGGCGGCACCTGTTTACAATATTATCGTCAAGTTTTTGTTTTTAAAAGTATAATTTATTTGCTTTTAAATATGAGTACCCGTGCTAAGTCTTACTAAAATTCTGTGGATTGGTTTCAACCAGGGTTTCCCAAACCGTCGGGGCCGGGGTTACTGTGCCCCAACGGTAAGCACGGTTACCGCGCGGTAACCGCGGTAACCGTGAAAAACCGTACAAAATTCATCAAAAATTCAAATTATTTTTTAAATTTATTTGAATTTAATGAGGTTACCGCGGTATTTACATTACCGTACCCCCGTGGTAAGCCCGGTAACCGCGGTAACCGCGCGGTTACCGGCGGTACGGTGAACCCTGGTTTCAACCACTGGAATCCTAAGCTAAAGCTATTCACAGTTTCACACTCATTCACCTCGTTTGATTGCACATTATGTCCTTGGAGTTCTTCAACATAGCATGCCTGTACAATGCAATTTCTTTTCCTCCCAGCCTTGGAAAACAAACAAACAAATAAATAAATACAAAAAGGTCAAGAATGGCTGAATTTTTCCGTAATAAGTTTGAATATCCCATTGATGCAAAATCACACCAATTAACTTTGAATATAATCATGTCGTGTGTACCATAACTTTATCAATAGCAAATGAATGATCAACTTTAACCAGCGCATCACAATCCACATCGATTGGTTACTTACGACTGATTAGCGACTAAAAATGATTTATAGGTAAAACTTTTGCACATGTATTTTAGCGACTTAAATCCAAACTAAGAAAACTACGTTGAAAAAACATCAAAATTATGTTTTAGTGCATATTTTGGTATCGGTTTATAAGTCATAGGGCAAACGACGAGAAACCCCCCCCCCCCTCTTTTACAAATAATACCTTGTACTTGCTACCAAAGCACATCACTTGAGTGAAAACGGTCGGAATTAGTAGCATCTCTTTAAAAACGATACTCGATCGGTCGGTAATTGACTATATTTATCATTTAAACTATTCAATGTCAATATTAATACAATACATAAAGAAATTAAAAAACAAAAAATATAAATAGCCAAAAACGATATGGTCGGAATAACCTTTTTCAAACTATGAGCCAATAGAGGCAGAGACTGGAGACACGTAATCCAGAAATCCGCCTCCCTAGTAGCGTAGACGTAATCGAAACAAGCCGTCGGAGAGAAAGAGAAATATTCGCCACCGGCTGCAGGCGGCGGCGGCGGCTGAACCCCTAAACCCAATGTCGCCGGCGGCGAGGAGCCTCCTGCTATCGGCCGCCCGCCGTCAACGCCGCCGCTTCTCGACGGAGGCCCCGTCGTCGACTCCGCAGCAGCAGCTCCTCCCCAAGGGGAAGCGGTGGGACGCGGTGGTGATCGGCGGCGGCCACAACGGGCTCGCCGCCGCCGCCTACCTCGCCCGCGCCGGCCGCTCCGTCGCCGTGCTCGAGCGCCGTGGCGTCATCGGCGGCGCCGCCGTCTCCGAGTCCGACCTCGTCCCGGGCTTCCGCTTCTCCCGCTGCAGCTACCTCCTCAGCCTCCTCCGCCCCGCCCTGATCCAGTAAAACCCCCCCTACCCACCCAAATACTATTTGTCAATCGGAATTCCCACAGCTCTGTGTTCATATGCATTTCTGTAATCATTCTGCAAATGCGGGTTATAATATTGCACTGTACTAACTGAATTCTGATGCTGCTAGCTTTGATGTGGGTTCTTTTCTTGATAGGGAGCTGGAGCTGGAGAGGCATGGGCTGAAGCTCTTGCCGCGGAGCCCGTCGTCATTCACGCCATGCCTAGACGGCAGGTATCTCCTTCTCGGCCCCGACGCTGAGCTGAACCACTCGGAGATCAGCAAGTTCTCCGAGAATGATGCCGGTGCATACCCGAGGTGATAGACTCACTGATATTTTGACTCTTGTTTTCAGTTATAAAATCTTGGAGTAGTGCTTGATTATATGAACTCTGTTTTCATTGTGAAATTTAGGTAGAATCGGTCATGTGACTAAATGACCGTGCATGTTTTTTTTTATCTTATGATGATCTTAGTTGGGTAGTGTACATGTAAATGTAGGTACGAGGAGAAGCTGGAGAAGTTCTGCAAACTCATGGACTTTGTCATAGACTCGCCTCCCCCTGAGATGAGGCATGAATACCACCTCTCCATGGTGGACAGGATGAAGGATAAGGTTGACAAGTCTGTGTTCTGGAGCAAACTTCTTGGGATTGTGATGCAGCAGGGGCAGAAGGACATGGTGTGAGTATAAATACTGACCCTTTGCAAATGCCACCATCAACACCATGACTCGACAGTGCTATGTGTAACTTTAATCTTCCTTTTCTGTTTCCTTGGAAATATGTTATTCACAGGGATTTCTTTGACCTTCTCCTTTCACCAGCATCCAAGATCTTGAACAACTGGTTTGAGGTTGATATCTTGTTTACCCGTTCTCTGAAATACTTCTTATCACATTGTTCATATGAAGCAACGTGGAGTTTCACTATTGAATTGACAATATTCACATGTTTTTCTTGTAACCATGGACAATTGTGTTTTTTTTTAACTGCAGGGTGATGTGTTGAAGGCAACTCTTGCGACTGATGCTGTGATAGGTTCTATGGTAAGGGTGCTTTGGATGAACCAAGAAATGTGTTGTGGCCAATGGTAATGGTTTAGCATTTGATGCTGCATGGACTTTCTACAGGCTGGTGTCCACACTCCAGGATCTGGTTATGTTCTTCTGCATCATGTTATGGGGGAAACTGGTGGCCAACGTGGAGTATGGGCGTATGACTCTTAACCTGAGCTTCTCTCTGTTATTCTGTTCCCGCAGAAAAATAATAGGTCCTTCATTGTTCTAGGCCTGAAACCATGTCCAAGCCTTTGTGGCCCTAGCATCAGGAATTGTTTTGCTGGCGCATATCTCCACTGTCTAGTCAAACAGGGCAAATGCCATATAATGGTCATATGGTTTCTAGCCAAATATGCTAGTTTTAGCATTGTTGGTTCATTAGTAGTTGGTTTCCTGATTCTTCTTATTTTGCTTGTTGAAAAACTTATGTGGTAAAACAAAAACATTCGCTTCAGGTATGTTGAAGGTGGTATGGGTTCAGTATCGTCAGCTATAAGCAAAGCAGCTCTTGAAGCAGGTGTGGAAATTTTAACAAATGCAGAGGTGCATTTTCTCTTCTTATGCCATGATATTACCTCTTTGATTACGTATGGTGGAGCAGCATTCAAATTTGAATAGAAAAAATGAGTAACTATTTATTGACAGCTGTAAAATGCTGGCTTTTTCTACAAGAAAAGGTCAAATTTTATTTAGTGGTGAATTATTATCCTGCACCCAGATTTCTGTTTAAGCAACATGCCTCACTCTAGTGGTTTTATATAGGTTTCCCAGATATCTGTTCATCACACTTCTGGGAAGGTACAGGGGGTAAGTTCTTTGACTAACCGATAAATGGTACTCCTATTTCATTTCTTTGAACCTCTTGAAATTATGGGAACTTGTAGGTAGTTTTGGCTGATGGAACAGAGGTGCTGACATCAGTTGTTTTATCAAATGCAACTCCATATAGAACATTTGTGGTAAGAGCTACTCAGAATATATAACAACGTGAAGATATAATACCTGTTCCAATTTTGTAGACACAATGAAACAAATATTTGTACACTGATATCTGGTTTCCTTTTCAGGACCTAGTGCCTGCCAATGTTCTTCCAGACAACTTCCTCTCTGCTATCAAAACTGCAGATTATAGCTCTGTAAGAACGTACTTTGAAGCATAACATAATAAATAAGTGTTATAATATTGATTGATAACAATGTAATATGATTCTGTGGAGAGCAGGCAACAACGAAAATTAATGTGGCTGTTGACAGGCTGCCACAGTTTTCCTGTTGCAAAGACTTTAATCCTGAAGGCGGTCCAGAACACATGGGCACCATACACATTGGATCTGAAAGGTAGGTTACTGAAGTTATGGAACCTTTTCTACTTCAACTATGATGATCTGCGGCATGTTATTGCATTCAGTTGTGTTAATCTTTGTTCTGTTGTAGCTGTACACAATTGAAAATCTTTGAGACACCAGCTTTTATATTGCCTCCCGTTCCTGTGTAGTATAGATTGGTTGCCAACATGAGTAATGAGTAGGCAAGTGAAATAATCTCTTAATTCCATGATGTCATCTTTCCGTTAACATATTCTTCTACTTTGGAAATACTATACACTTGGTGTCTCAATTCTATGTACCAAATCGATGACCTGCACGTGTATATAGAAATATCATGTCTCCATTAGTACCTTAGGACAGTACTGAGTGTAATCTGAACATGTTAACGGTAATATACTACTACATCTAGTCAAAAACATTTGACATTGGAAAAACTAATCTCAGTTCTCCCAACGTCAAATACATTTGACTGGGATCATGCAGCCTACTGCTAGTTTCTCATTATTTTGGTGATTGGAAACTACTGGATGATGTAGCGTTTTGTTGGATTCTCTATGCAAATCCTTATATTTTCATGTTATTGAACTTTATCCTTATCTTTTCATATTGAACTTTACTGGAACTCCAGCATGGAGGAAATCGATCTAGCGTACAGGGAAGCTGCAAATGGCGTCTCATCCACAAGACCTGTTATAGAAATGACGATTCCTTCTGTGTTGGATAAGACCATCTCCCCACCAGGTATGCCAATTTCTTGTTCCCAGCATTGCAGTTGCATAAAAGTGTGGTGTCTGATTTGTATAAGCTATAATTGTGCCCTACAGTTCATATATCCAAGATTAATTTTCCTCACCCCCCAAAAAATCCAAGTTTAATTTGGATATGTGGCTGTGAAACCTCACCTTCTTCTTATGCTTTATATAATCTGAATCAATGTTCATCCTTTGCTTTATCCTTTGATAGGCCAGCATGTTATTAACCTTTTTGTTCAGTACACACCATACAAACTTTCAGAAGGCAGCTGGCAGGATTCTAATGTTAGAGTAAGTAGTTCCTTCTTGAAGTTTGATGTCATGATGCACTTCGTTTAATTTATGCTTTCATGGCTGCACAGATTTTGCTGTGTATGTTTTCCCACATATGCCTTTCTCCTTAATCGAACAGAGTGGATGATGATGATGCCCTTATGCATTATTGTTTGTCACCAGTTACTATCCACAGAGAGGCACCCCTGACATTTTAATTGAAACCAATTTTCAGAAATCCTTTGCTGAAAGATGCTTTTCCTTGATTGATGAATATGCACCGGGTTTTAGCTCATCAGTGGTAGGCTATGATATGCTGACTCCACCTGATCTTGAAAGGGAGTTTGGCCTAACAGGTAATCTGTTTGCGTGGTATACATAGTGTACCTCCCTTCTTGCGGAGTGCTGACCGTTGCTGTTTTCATCCGAAAACCTTGTTAAACGAGCATTTGATTCACATTTTCACAGGTGGTAACATCTTTCATGGCGCAATGGGCTTGGATTCACTTTTCCTCATGAGGCCTGCCAAGGGATGGTATGTCTATACCTCTAACATGCATATTCCTTCACCCTTCTACTCGGCGAATCTTAGGCCTGTCAAGGTTCATCTGTCATGACCGTGAACATGTCGTCACCACTTCTTCAGGTCAGATTACAGAACTCCAGTGAAGGGATTGTACCTCTGTGGCAGTGGTGCACACCCAGGAGGTGGGGTAATGGGCGCTCCGGGCCGTAACGCTGCCTCCGTTGTTTTGGAAGATCTCAGGACAAAATAGATGGTGACCCGAGGAAACATGGAAACGGTGATTGACACCAGGCTGGGTCTCGTTCAAGCACTGCACTGCAAAAGCAACCGAATTCCATCAGAATGAAAAGCACCTCATCAGACATCAGGTATAAACACCTGTGCCATGTGAGCTCACATATTAAGGAAATGGACAAACATTTCTTGAGGAGAGGCACATTTTCTGAATTAATTGGCCGACTTTCTAGTTTAGAGAGGGGAACATTCTTTGCCACCTGACCCTATTTCCCAGTATGAAGATATTTTGCATTTGTTCTCTTCTATTTGCAGCCTGTCTGAAATATATTATTCATCGGATTATCTACTTGATTGTAGGATAAATTAAATATTTTTTTAACAATTATCAAATATCTTGGAACAAGTGGTCTATGCATATCCGTATGGTGAGGTAGCTAAAAAGAGCTGAAAATAACATACTAATATTTGTGATCAATCTCTACAGTGCCATTTCTTTGTGCCGCTATATCTCTGGAAAATGAATGTCTACGACATTTTCCATAGAAAAGAACACAGTGCTATCTGTGACCAATCTCCACAGTGCCATTTCTTTCTGCCGCCATATATCTGAAAAACGAATTTAGACGACATTTTCCATTGCAAAAGCAACCGATACAATATGCGAGGAGATTTAGCTCGGTACATAACTTTTGATTCTTTTGGAGAAAAGAGTATTTGTCACAATAATTGTTTGCTCTCAAGTAAACAACAGCGCCTGTAGCTCAGTGGATAGAGCGTCTGTTTCCTAAGCAGAAGGCCGTAGGTTCGACCCCTACCTGGCGCGTAGTAATTTTTTTTATTTGCCCTGTTTTGCATGAACATTTTCCTTTCCTTTTTAACCCTGTTTTGCAATGAACATTTTCCTTCTCTGCCCTGTTTTTGTATGAACACTGCAAGTTTTTTCTTCTGTGCTTTTTTTACTGTCCTTTCCTTTCTTTTTTTTCTTTCTATCAACAGTGCAAGACTGCAAGTTTTCTCTCTTCTTCCTGCCATATTTTTGCTATGAATATTTTACTATGAACAATGCAAGTTCTCTTCTTTGCTCTTTTTACTGTCCATTTCTCTCCCTGTTTTTTTCTATCAACAGTGCAAGTTTTTGCTTCTTTGCTTTGTTTTTTTTTCTATGAACAGTGCATTACTCTTCCTTGTAAGGCTGCATGTCGTGTGTAACGTAGAGGACGTAGGAGCACTTTTCTCCTTTTAGTTCACACCTTACCATGGAGGATTTGGGATATTTTTTAGTTGCGAAGAATTGGTTTTTCTTGTATTAAATAGTATTCCTTCCCAACACACCTCCGGTGAGGAAGTGGTAGGACATATTTTCTTACTCTTTTATAGAGCTCATAGCCAACTCTAACCATTGCAAGCGCTTGGATTCCTTGATTCCCTAGCAAGTTGCACATTGCCTTAAAAAAAAGAGAGGAAAGAGAAAAAGACCGTGTAGAGGCGTTGAATCGTTGACGTAATCCCTTCCTAGTTCTTTCCTTCCCTCTTATTAGTCATCTTCCTTATAGTAGTACTAATATTTAGCCTTCTCTTATCGTCTGCATCGTCTCGTGGTCCACTACCATCGTCGTCATCTCCTCGTGACATCGGCAATGCTCCACCTCTGATGGCACCTACTCATTTAGGAGCCCACACAAAAGACGTCGTCTCCATTGCCGCAACCTTATTGCAACCTCTCCATACTGTAGGGGTGTGTTTGGATAATGGGAAATGGGGGTGGGATTGGGATTGGGAAATGAATGAAGGGTTAGGATTAAATGGAAGAGGAAGAATGAATTGTTAGGATTTAAAGATGGCTGGGAAATCATTTCCCTTTCCCATTTGCTAAACACTACCTAGGTATAAACGTACCTTAGATCATCTTTTCAAGTTGTAGCCTCTTATGCGCAAGCTTTAGTTATTGTGCTTGATATTATGTCTATTGTTGACTGTGGCAAAAAAAAAAAATTCCATGTTAATTTGCTAGAATAACTTTCATAGATGTAAATTTTGATGAAACTATCATCGAACAACATATTTTAGATAGTTGCAAGGGCTTTCCGTTGTCACGATTGATATGGCACTGTGTCATGTGGTACGTTGTGGTCTGCGCGGTGGAGATGTACCTGAGGTATCTGAATCTCCAGATTCCAGAATGTAGGCAGCTTATTCCGCTGCAAGTGCAAGCCACTACTCCGTAGACCTCAATATCTCAAATCAATCAAATCTGCTTTGCATTTGAGCAAAGCAGCTTTGTAGATTTCAACAGTGCTTTGTAGAATCAGGCCTTCTTCACTAAATCTCCTGATTTCAGTTTCCTGAAATTGACTGACTGACTTTTACTCGCTTCACATTATATAACTAAGAACTAACAACAACAACAGGAGGAGGCAATGTCCGCAATACATCCTAGGATTGGTAAAACCAAATCAAAAGCACCAAGCATAGTACATATATTAGCATTGTCCATCTACACATCTCAAACAATTATTGGGGTTGCAGCGTCAACAAGCTTTGCACCAGTCAATTACAGGGTGCATATGAAGCTCATTCTCCTGTATAGCAGCAATCAGTACATGGAACAAAGCAAACAACAGTCCATGGAAGATGGAACAAAGCGCTGTACAACAAAATGGTAATTCCTATTCCTAGTGAAAAGAAGTCATAACCCAGGAAAGCAAAAATTGCTGGGTGGTTGATTCCAAACAGCAAAGAAACAACCGGAATAACAAAAAGGAAATACTAAAAATGAATGAATGGGTTAAGCAAAAGAAATAATTGCATAGCCCAGCCAGAATGACATATCAGGAACACCAGAGACGGTGGTAGTTTCAAAGTTTACCCACTCGATCAACTAGTTTGGACCTGACTGACTGACTGACTGACTGAATGCAACTCAAGAAGGACTCAATGATAGTTCGACGGACGGACACAAAAGGGAGCCTGCTACTGCTAATATTTACAAGGCAGACGCAAAACCTAACAAGAAAGATACTTAGTGTTCATATCCGATACGGAGTAGCTGCAAAAAGAATGCTTATGGCAGTAGTAGTCCAGTTGCCACTCAATCAAGGATGCCTTTTCGCTTTCCTTTTTATGCTGGACAAATCAATCTGAAAGCTAGCCTCGTTTATTCCTGGTCATCGTCAACGAATCTTCCTGTCTGCCTGCTAGCTATTGGTACCTGCCAAGCCATGCATGCCACCGATAAATAAATTGCAATGCAAACAGAGTATCATCATATCTCACAGATAGATTATATTATCAATCAATCAATCAGGTTATGTTATTTGTCTGAATTGGAATTGACGAGATACGATACGACTTACAGATTAGTTGAAGCTTCAGTGAACTTGCGCAGCAGGTGCGGCGAGGTTGTTGAGCGTGGTCGCATCTGCTGCTCCAAGATTGGGCGTGTTGGCATCAGCAGCACTAGCAGAGCACTTTGAACTTATTTGATCGCTGACAACATAAACATAAGCAGAGCACACAACTGTTAGTGGATAACACATCAACATCAACGAATGCAAAGCTGCATGCGCTTGACAGTCCGTGACCAACTAATCATGTATCACACAAATGCAGAAAAGTTCAGCTAAAGAGTACTTGTTACTCTGTTGCAGCAGCATTAGAAGTTGTTGCTCTGAATATTTACTCAGACTATGCAATGGTGAACTATCCAAATTCTGGTAACTCAAAAGCACAAGTGCAAACCATTGTCATTCAGTACAGTACAGATTTTGCCCATGCATGATTTATTGCATACAAATGGGTATAGAAATTTAATTATAATGTAACGAAATAGATATGACTATTATCACAAAATTGTGCACCTTTTCAAGTAATCAATGAAACAGACAGCAATTAATGGTAAAATGTCTACACCTAAGCAGATGACAAAGCAGGACGAGCTATCGATCTCTACTCATTCTCAGTCTAATGCGGTAATGCCAGGATATATATGTACAGGATACACATATGGGAAACAAGACATCGGACAATTTAATACAGTAAGAATTTGGATCATTAACTAAACTAAATTGCAATGCATGATTCCAGTGTGTTGTGCTCTTATATTAATAACAAATCATATATGGAAGTAACATAAACAATGTATTCCATTAAATCTTATCTTTTTTGCCGGGTCTCATTCCATTAAATCTTATCATCGGTTGATTAATTAAACTCGGGTAAGGAGACCGACTTTGGGAGTCTATTGAAGACTGACAAAATCAAACCAGCTAAGCCATTGGAATGGTCAAACAGAGATCTTATCTATTGTCTATCAGCTCCACTCAACTCCACTCCACAGTAACATGCATCCATGTCCACATTTCAGTACATCACAACTCCACAAGCATCATCTAGACATAGACAACGACTGACCAATGACGCGCGCGTAGCAGTTACAGACAACTGATCCCAATTCGATTTAAAGCGTCAACAACACGTTTCGTTTGGGAATGTAGTAGGCTGATATCAGCCTCGATACACAAGCTATCCTGCGAGTATTGTCTGGATCTGACTATAACGAACTCAAAAAACGTACTGGCACTGCAAAAACTCAGCTAAAAACGACGCGTACGTAGCAGTTACAGAAATCCTAACTAATCGCCAATTAATCAGGAATGGGCTACAGATCCAAACCAACTCGATAGCAATACACGAATTGACGAATTGGTACGAAACTCCAATTGACTCGTCGATCGCATCGATCTAACACATCAGGAGTAGCGCTGCTAAATAGAATCGGATGCAGAAGTTTAACAACACATCACGGAATTCACAAGTAGCTAGGAGTGGCAAATCAAAACGAATCGGATGCAGAAGATTAACAACACATCACAGAATTAATTCACAAGTAGGAGCGGCAAATTCGAATCGAATGCAGTAGCCAGTAGCTAGGTACCTGGAGATTTCGGCGATTGAGGCAACGTAGGGGATGAAACCTCTCGAGTAGTCCTCGCCTGTGAGCGGGCCGATGTTGCGGGTGGTGCGGCCTTCGAGGTCCATGGCGACGACGCGCTCCTCCGAGGGGTCCCACATGACGACCTCCGCCATGCCCTGCGAGCGGAGCAGCTCGACGCCCTCGCGGTTCCTGAGGCTGCTGCCCTCGAACTGGCCGGCCCACGACCACGACCCGACCCCATCGGCGGCGAGGACGTCCATGTCGAGGTTGAGCACCGCCACCTCGGTGACGCGCTGGTCCATGCAGGTGACGCAGAGGTTGCCCTCCATCTCGCCGATCTCCCAGAACGGCCGGGCCTCCACCTCGGGCGGCGCGGCGAACTCGTGGGGGTAGCCCTTCTCCGGGTCGTAGTAGACGAAGCCGATGGAGGTGCGCCAGAAGGCGCGGCCGTGGGCGCCGACACCTGAGAAGGACTCGACCTGCTCGACGATGGAGATCCCGGGGGAGACACGCCACTTCCATGTCCTGGAGGAGAAGGACTCGAAGGACCAGACGCCGCCCCCGAGGTTGAAGGCGACGACGACGTGGTAGTGCTCGACGCCGATGCCGCCGAAGCAGGAGGCGGAGGCGGTGGGCTCCTCGAAGGTGATGACGACGGCGGGGTCGACGTGGTCGCGGGTGTGGCGAGGGAGGCGCACCCGCCTGAAGGTGGCCGGGTTGGCGACGTAGTAGGAGCCGGTGGTCTCGCCGCGGAGGCAGACGAGGCCGCGGGTGGAGGCGAGGACGGCGACGTGCTCCGGTAAGGCGGAGAAGCGCGGGTCGGGGATGAGGTGCTTGGCGCTGCGGATGGCGTCGAAGGCGAGGTACCCGGGCTGGTTGTCGGAGGCGGTGTGGTAGAAGAGGCCCGAGAGCGGCCTCGGCGGCGGCGGGCGCGGCGAGTCCTCCTCCTCGAGTTCTCCGCCGTAGAGGTCGTCGCCGTCAGCGTCGCTCCCCACCTCGTCGTCCTCCTCCTCTTCGTCGGAGCAGGCGGGAGTGTTGCAGGAGGAAGAGAGCGCGAGGACGTAGTCGTCGTCGGAGGAGGAGTCGGCGGGGTTGTCGGAGTCGAGCATGACCCAGTCGTCGGAGGAGGAGCACTCCGCCATGACAACCACCTCTCGATCTCTCTCCGATGGGGAGTGGGGGTTAGGGTTTTGGAGGAGGAGAGGAGAGATGGGGGGGAATTCGGATTGGATTCGATTGGATTCGTTGCGATCTGGGAGAGATGGGAAGACGACGCGATGAATGCGTGGGAAATATATGGGCGGATCGAGCCGAGGCGGCGGCGGCGCGGCGAGGGGAGAGGGGAGGAGGTTAGTTGTGGTGACGCGAATGGTGCGCCACCACGCGGCGATGGCGATGCGGGCCCCGCGCGTCAGTGGGAAAGGTGGGAGCGGTTCCTTAGGCAGCACGGAACATTCCTTCCTTCCTGACACGCTCGACGAAGAAATATTGATTTGTATGTAGAAAAGAAATACTTTTCTTTTAAATTTCTGTAGAGAAGATAAAGTTAGTACGGTGAATGAAAGGGGAGGGAAAATTGCGATAGATTTCACGGAATCTTCTTTTTGTTTGCGAGCACGCGTAAAAATAAAAACAAAAAACACTGCAGGGAAGCCATCTTTGCTCACTGGCAAGGTATGGGAGAAGATCACACGAGGCATCCTGCACCAGCTAGCTTTTGACGACATGGATAACACTAGTCGCAGTGTTACTTTTGTTGCAGAGCCAGTGTCATCATCAAGCCCATAAAAATAGTATTTTCGAGCCTACAAAATTAACAAGTGTTTTTATTGATTACGGGCAATACTATTTCATAATAAAAATATAGCGCTAACTATATCACCAGTACGTGGTGGTGTTTTTTTTTTCCGAACGGTCAGACTGTTGCTGACATTTTATATAAAGAACGAGTGTTCCATTTTAAGGAGATAACATGATCATGCCATAAATACAGAATTAATTAGCGAAAACGGGGTAAAAACCACACAACTATCATACTCATACATTCCACCAACTAATCTAAGCTACCAAGTAAGTAGACGAGAAGTCAAGAACAGGACGACCGAGCTCAACACTCAACAAAAGCCATTCACACGCTAAAAGAGACTCCCACACGCCGGTGGTGGTGAAGTTTGAGGTGTGGTTGTATGATCAGGCTAAGCTCTATCACTAGTTTAAATTATTAGAGCGATGGTCCAAGTCCACCAATAAGCATATATTGCAATAGATAAATATGTACTACTCTACTCTATTAAGACACTAGTAGATTTTATCACTGTGGTCATACGATGTGAAATTAAACTGAACCACAATATTATTAGGACAAAATTAATTTTCTTATCAATTAACGTTAATTGGTACTCCCTCCGTCCCACAATATAAGGGATTTTGAGTTTCTGTTTGTAACGTTTGACCACTCATTTTATTCCAATTATTTTTGCAAATATAAAAAACGAAAAGTTATACTTAAAGTACGGTAGATAATAAAGTAAGTCACAAATAAAATAAATAATAATTTCAAAAAATTTTGAATAAGACGAGTGGTCAAACGTTGCAAGAAAAACTCAAAATCCCTTATATTATGGGACGGAGGGAGTAAATTTTATCTTAGATTAAAATAATTCGACCTCATTAGCATTTTTTTAACCGCGCCGATCTAACTTTTGGTCAAATGACGAGATCGAGTGCTCCCTGTCGATAGAAACACGTTTTCCCCTTAATTTGTTTTTATATTTCAATTGACAGTTTTAGTTTGTTTAATGGTTCATTTGTTACGGGTCCGTCAAGAAACACGTAGCAGTGAGTACGTCTAATGGTACGCGGTGACACTTGCAGACTTGCAGTCCACTTTGTCAAGTTTCCTTTTTGACTTTTCACTTCGATCAGGAATTGAAGCAACTATAGTTATTAAACTATATTAAAATGTCATAGTACAATTAAATTATACTACCTCCATTTTAATGTATGACGCCGTTGACTTTTTGTCCAACGTTTGACTATTTGTTTTATTTAGAAAATTTATGTAATTATTATTTATTTTATTGTGACTTGATTTATCATCAAATGTTCTTTAAGTATGACATAAATATTTTTATATTTACACAAAAAATTTGAATAAAACGAATAGTCAAACTTGTTAAAAAAAGTCAACGACGACATACGGGAGTATATTCCAAGGACAAACATTGGCCTGGTCACGCATATCTTAACCATATATATACGTAGCATTATCCGTGTGGACCGTGTCCATCGGCATGTGGCAATTAATTGAAAGATAATAACGACCAAACTACGGTTAGCTAAGGAGCATAATTAGTTTACTCCACTCACTCAATAATCAGGTCCATTAATTAATTAATTAACTCCAAGAGATCGGAGGTAGTATATCCATGGATTCATGGATTAATTGATTGATCATGTGTGGTTGATGTGGATGATCAGTTGTGTGTACGTACGCATACAGAGCATGTGAATTTCATTTAATTAAGTCGCTTGACTAAATATTTGGATGGTCAACTGCATGTGTTATGTAACACAAGACTGAAAACAGTATTACTTTGTTTCTAGTAGGTGGCCATCGAGGAAGAGAGAGGGGCTAGCTGGTTGATTTTCGTGTTTGTGGGGCTTATATGTGGCTTCCACTTATATTTTATATTATTTTTTTAATGTCACTTAGGTAGGTGGGAACGTCCAACAGATTAGTTATGCCATAATCAATGATTGAGGCAGTTATATGATTGAACTATAAATACGATATATGTTATGTTTGATTGCTTTTATCGAGTGAACATTTTTGTTCTTCGTCCCATCTGTATTTTAAAGATGCGTCCGCATGTCTCATAGTTGAGGAGGATAAAATAAACTTTTTCATACAAACGAAGCATTTGATAACAGATGTTTGTCAGGGTTACGGGTTAGGCATACCCTTTACCCTTCGATATACGTTACATATCGGTATGGTATACCCACGCGCATACGGATACTTCCTGCGTACTCTAAGGAAATCCCTCACAGAATCTATGGATGGGAAGAATCCTACTCGGACAAGATTGAGTCGTTAATGTATCGTACAGGGTCTGATATCTCCGAGTTCTACTTGTAAACCTCCAGATCTGCGATATAAAAGGGACCCCTCAGGGAGGGCCTAAGGCATCGACTCTCAGAGCCAACACAACTCATACAGCCTACGAAGCCGGAGCCTGCAAGGAGCCAAGTCATCGGGATCTAGTCGAACCAACTCGACTACGATCTCGCCGGATCCGACTCGACTACAAGTTCCATTGTCCCCTTTGTAACCTGTGTTTTCCACCATATAATCCCATATCAACTGGATTAGGACTATTACCTGTCAAGGGGCCTGAACCAGTATAATCTTCGTCTTTTGTTTGCTTGATGTCGTATTACGTAGATCCTTATACCAACGTACCCCAATACCCTCTATATCCGGTCTACGGGTATCACCCGTCGACAATGTTGTTAAATATTTTTATAAACTTACGTTAAACCTAAATAAGATTGACTATAAAATAATTAAAACAACTTATAATATGAAACAATGGAGGTATTAATTAAGTGGCAAGTATTTCACTACCAAAACATTTATAATATGAAACGGAGGAAATATTAATATGAAACATAGGAGGTATTAATTAAGTGGCAAGCATATCACTACCCAAACATTTATAATAGAGTAAATTTTAGAAAACTACAATTATAGTGACAAAACTATCAGTTTGCTGCCACATTAGCGATCTATTTTAGTCGTTTGCTGGAATAATAGAGTGGGAAATTATCACAAAACTGCAAACTTTTATGTTATATGCTGCTACAGTATATGTAGGTGACAATAGCGTTGGAAATTATCACAAAACTGTAGCTTACAACTGTAGCAGCATATCACGTAAAAGTTGCAGTTTTGTAATAATTTCCCACGCTGTTGTTGTAGCAAACTGAAATAGATCGCTAATGTTGCAGCAAACTGATAGTTTTATCACTATAGTAGTAGTTTTCTGAAATTTACTCTTTATAATATGAAACGGAGTATTAATTAAGAGGGACATGTATCACTATCCAAGGGGTTGCGATTAACAAATTAAGAATAAATCCATCAATACTCCAAACTATTACGAATGACAAGATTTGTGTTCACAAATTGAATAACCAAATCTAGCACTACAACTGAAGAAGAATTGAAGCTAGCTATGTATATGATATGTGATGCGATCTCCTTCAATTCTCCTCCTACACCATGCATGTGTCGTCCATGTCCATGTTGGAGTAGCCGCACGCCGGGCACGCCCACGCCGCCGCCACCGCCGCGCACGCGGCGCACAGGTGCCACTGCCAGCAGCACGCTCTCTCGCCGCACCCGAAGCACCTCGCCGCCGTGCTCGCGTCGCCGCCGCCCTCGTCCTCCTCCTTGCCGCCGGTGTCGTCGGTGAAGTTGTCACCGTAGCAGCAGGACTCGGCGTCGTCGTCGTCGTGGTGCCACCGCGGCTTCGCCCGGAGCACATGGTCGAGCTCGACGCGCAGCGCGGCGTTCTCGCCCTGCAACGCGGCCTTCTCCCCCTCCCGCGCCACGGCGATGCTCTGCCACGCCCGCGACACCGCCCACGCGCACCGGAGGCGCTCCGCCATCTCCCGGCGCGCCCGCCTGATCTCGTCGTCCTTCGCCGCCAGACGCCACGCCACGGCCGTCTTCACCGCCTCCAGCCCCTGCTTCCACCTCGCCCGCCGCCGCAGCAAGGCCGACGGGTCGTCATCCTCATCGTCGTCGTCGACGACGGTGTTCGTCGTCGTCGTCTCATCGGCGACGACGACGCGCGGTCTCTTCTTCCTCGACGAAGCCGCCGTCGTGGCGGGCGGCGCACACGTGCAGCAGGACGAGGCGAGGTCGACGGCGCATTCTCCGTGGTGGTGGTTCCTGCAGCTTTCGACGGCGCCTTTATCGCCGGCCACCATCTCTGATCTCCTGGGGACGGCCATGGCGTACGTGGCCGGAGTACACTACCACTGTGGGAAGCTTGCGTCGTCGTCGTCGATGGCGGCGGCGGCGGCGGCGGCGGCGGCGGTCGGCTCAGCTTTTACCGTGGCACGTGGCGGCCGCGCGCGTGGGCTTGGTATATATAGAGCGTGAGTGTCCCGCTTGTTTCTGTAAATTAGTTAATTAATTATTATTCCCGATATATTTTTAGCTATTCGGATTAATTGATTAATTAATTAACTTGGTTTCAATATAGTATTTTCTTCTTTTTTTAAAAAATTTCTGTATGTCTTATTTTCTTCGGATAAACACGCATTAACGGACTGCAAATAATTCAATCACGTGCG